AAGGACGTTGGGTGCTTGGGGCATGCGATTGGTACCTGCTCTCTGTGCCTCCTCCTCCAGCCTGCGTCTGTTGAGCTGCTGCAGTCTGTGCCGGAGCTCCTCCTGCCTCCTGCGCTCCCTCTCCCGCTGCGCCTGCTCCGTCCTCAGCCGGCTCTGCACCTCTTCCTCCTGCCTCTGTCTCTCCTCCTCCTCCCTCTGCCTCTTCAGCCTCAAAGACACGCAAAACATGAACCACGCAGCTCAGCTTCTAAACCCATGGGAACTGTTGCACACAGCATGGTACAAACTACACTGTACCATCCAAGCCATGCGGCTATACCACCTCATAGAACAGCTTTGACTGCCTTGAATCCAGATATTGAGATCTCAGAGGTTATGTACTGCAGCATCTGCCTGGTTTTTGGATGGGAATTAATGAAGGAAAATGTGGATAGTGCTGGAAGTGGCATTCCTAGACCAGTAGGTGTCAGTGCTCTGTTTATATTTGTGTAATTAGCAGTGATGCATAGAACCTGCGTGGTAAAATTAACATTTGTACAAAAATATATTTTGCTTGTATACATTTTGTGCCTGTTGAACATAAACACGAGGACACCACCAAATATTGGCACCTCTGTCTAAACTAGGGGTCTCTGTAATTCAGTTTGTTTTATAGGCCACCCCAAATAGATTGGGAAGGCCTGCGGAACATTGATCAATGAAATAATTAATTCTGGTCTTTCATGGCTGATGGGTCTTCAGTTTTTCTTCTAGATGACCTGTAAATTACATCATTTAGACCTTTTAGCTGATCATTAAATTGTTCCACGTGTTACAAAATGGATGGTTTAGTGAGTATCTACATACTGGCCTGGAGACCCCATCTCTAAACTGAAGTCAGCTGTCAAACGTATTTCAGTAGATGAGTAGATCCTTTGTCCTTCTGACAAGTGTATGTGAGTAGAACTTATATTATAAATTCTCATTTTTAATTTGATGACTTTTGAGTGTCTTTGTGAAAGTACAGTCAGCCTGTCTCCAAACGGACTAGATAGGCAAAATAGCTTCCTCTCATTTGTTACTGTACCTAGCACCAAACTCTTAAGTACATATGTACGTATGTTACATTTCCTATAAACTGGCAAGGCATTCAAAAAATTAGAACTTCTCTCTGCTCTCATAAGCTATCAATCTGAACAGATCATTAATGTCTGAAAAAAAAATGTTAGGCTTTGTTGTATATTGCCTTCATTGTGTATTAACCTTTCCTGGGGTAAGGGCTATTGATCTGAGACGTTTTTCCTAAGCAACGTGTGCTAAACTTGAAAATAGCGCAAAGGGGAAAAAATATTGGCTGTTGAATACAAAAAAATGAGTGCCATTCCCTTCAGATTGAAGTAGTTATCTTTGTGAAGTCTGGACAAATAAGATATTTTTCTTATGATTTCTTAGGATCTTTTGATGATGGTATCGATGACAAGAGGGCCTTTCTTCAGGGTTATAAAGGTTAAAAACCTTTCTGCAGCTAGAAGGCGCTGTAGACCTGTTTTGAAGACCTACCTTGCTCCCCCCTGCTCCCCCCAACCTACTCCTGTGTCACACTCCTGGTGTGACAGGAAAATATATGCGCATCACCAGCCCAAAAGACTTCGGAATGCTTTTGAGAAGAAGAATTACAGGATGGTCAAAGTTCGCGTCAGAAGATAAGTCAATTGTAATACGAAAAGATTAGAAAATTAGGAAAGGGTTTGCAGGGAGGATACTGGAAATAAAACAGAGATAACAGTTCAAACGGACAGTCTATCTTCTTTGAATGTATCCTTTTTTCTCTTCATGTATAAAGGCTTAGGCCTCCAGTTCTTCTGCTGACCCTTGTGTAAATTATTAGCCCAGAATCTTTTTTCCTTTTTGTGAAATTAAAGCTGTTTGGACCCATCCTGACCCACCCAGCAAACTGCTAGCGCAAAGGCCTGAGAAGGAATATTGAGCTTTTTCCGGAATGAGCCGGGGGAGGG